GAGGCTAATATCCTCTGGCAGTTAAAAGAGGGTAGGGCAGCCTGTGGCCTATTGCTTAAAGGAGCTGGGTCCCACATAGCCAACTGACCATGCAGTTTGAGTCCTGAGTCTGGCAGCTTAAAAAGCATACCAAGCAGGAACCAGTAGGTGGTGTAATGGTTATGCTGTTAGACTCCCACATGACTGGTTGTGGTTCTAGTCCCAGATTCGGTGGCTTGAAATTCATGCCAGGCACATATGCATGCATGTCCAAAATAAAAAAAAAAATGGAAATCACCCAGGAGATGATTTCTCACTTTCCCTTTCTCTATCTCTGGTGAGTTCATGCACCCTATAGTAAAAATCTCGTTAAGAAATAAACCACCAAGCTCCAATGTGGTTTTCCCCAGGAGGTCACTCTCCCCAGGACTCTGTCCAGGTGGCATAGAGGAGCACAGGGCTCTGCCTGGTGATGTGCAGTCTCTTCCCATGATGTGAGAGATAAAGCATGCGTCTACACTTGCATCTTTTTGTAGTTTCCCAAGGTCCTGTGGACAATGATAGGGAGTCAAATCATGAGGGAAATGACTCAGTGGAGCACAGGGTTTAAGCTTGTGTTTTGTGTTTAAAACTGAATCTATTTGGGACCAGCAGTTAGTGTAATGGCTACATCATTGGACTCTCCTTTAGTCAACTGTGATTTGAATCCCAGGCCCACTGGCTTAAACTCATGCTGGGTGCGTGTGTGCCCAAGATCCTGAGAGGAGAAAGGAAGAGAAAGGATTGTGGCATGGCCATCCCCCTGGGGGGTGATTTCTTGCTTTCTGTCTCTCTGTCTCTCTCTGTCTTTCTAGAGAACACACGTGCCCTATAGCAAAAACAGAAAAAAAGAAAAAACCTTCTGCAAAAAAAAAAAGAGAAACTGAATCTATTTTAACTATTGATAGATTTAATACCTTGTTTTGCAGAATCTGCTCACAATTGCAAGTAACTTATTTGAGGGGAGAAGAGGGATTGCACTTGACTTTTGGAAATTGGTTCCAATACTTAAATTTTAGATCCTTTCTTTAGCTAGGTGAGTTGGTAAAGTGATTATTTGTTTGTTTATTTATTTATTTATTTCTATTTTTTGGAGAGGCTTTTGCTATAGGATGCATGAACTCACCAGAAAGACAGAGAAAAACAGAGAGATAGAGAGCAAAAAATCACCCTCCCCAAGAGTGGATGGCCACGTAGCAATCCCTTCTCCTCCATTCTCCTCTCAGGATCTTGGGCACACATGCTCATGTGTCCAGCATGAGTTTAAGCCACTGGGTCCAGGACTTGAACTACAGTCGACTACATGGGAATTCAGCAACATAGCCATTATGTCAACCACTAGTCCCAGTAAAGTGATTAATTCTGTAATAGGTTTTGGAAATATTTGCAACACGTTTTAGAAAAATCATCTACTTAATCATTCCAGTATCTGAGGAATCATTCCAGTATCGGAGGGTGGGTTAGGCATGCACATTTTCATGTCACTCCGGATTCTCACTTCACAATGGAGAAGGGTTACCAACTCGGCCAGGTGCCCATTTAAATGTACCCCACATTCCAGAAGGCACTGAAGGTGGAGGCAGCAGTTAAGAAAATACAGTCCTTAGAGATCCATGTCAGGTTTTCTTTCTAAATATAATTATGACATTACTTCATTGTCAGTTACCTAGGAAAACTGAGGCTTTCTAATCATAAACAAAGACTCGTATAGGTTAGCATATTAAACTCGTGTTTATAATGAAAATGAAGATTACTGTACATGGCAAACAAACAAAAACAAAATGAAACACCAAGCACCTGTGCACGTGTGCCCCAAATCCTGAAAGTCAGGAGAGATGGAAAAGCAGAATTACAGCATGACCGTTTCCCAAAGGTACAGAGTGCTTCCTCTTTCTATCCAGCAAGTGCCCACAGTCCATGGCAAATTAGGAAAGAAAAAAGACAGGAAGAGAGAGAGGGAGAAAAAAATAAGACAACAAAGTTTCATTACCAAAATAGCACTTGCATTTAATCCAAAGCATCTTTAAGTTTTTAACAGCTGTAGTCCATCAGCAATAGATTTCAAACTACTTAAGGTTATGAGAGCATTTTGTAAGCTGCAGAACATTTTATAAATGCCACTGTTAATATGATACTTCCAATGTCTCTTCAGGACACCTCGATGTCATTTTTGACTTAATTAAACACCAAGATGTGTTTCATTTTTCCTGTTCAAAATAAGATCATGAATAATATTGTTTGAGGCGCCTGGCCTAGCAGTGAAGGTGTGCCCAGCCAGCCCGGAAGCCCCCGCAGAGGATGGCACAGTTTGCTCCAGGTGTTAAAGGAGCTCTCCTGTCAAGAACTAAGATAATGGAACAGAGGGGTCAGCAGGTGGCATCGTGGTTAAAGACACTGGACTCCCACATGGCTTACCACGGTTTGAGTCCTGAACCTGGCAATTTGCTTTCTCATTCCACCCCCTCCCTCTCTGATTAAGCTGGAAAATAATAATAATAATAAATAAAGTTAAATTAAAAAAATAATTCTTTTTATTTATTTATTTTTTTTTGGGGGGGAGAGATTTTCGCTATAGGGCGCGTGCGCTCGCCAGACAGACAGAGAGAGACATAGAGACAGAAAGCAAGAAATCACCCCCCAGGGGGGATGGTCACGCCGCAATCCCTTCTCCTCCATTCTCCTCTCGGGATCTTGGGGACGCACGCACACGCGCCCGGCGTGAGTTTTAAGCCACCGGGTCCGGGGCACGAACCGCGGTCAACTACATGGGAGTCCAGCGACATAGCCATTACGCTAACTGCTGGTTCCCCCACAGCCAGTGGATATTTTAATCAAAGATCATGGCTATACTAAGAGCATTGTATCGCCTTCTGTGTAGACTACTGCCCAGGGGGGATTCTCATTGGAGAATAAACATTTCTATCTCCTGCACCATAAACTGAGTCAAAAAGAACCTTTACCAAAGGAGAGAGTCTCATTGAATAATTATCTTTATTTACTAACTTGAAAGATTTCACCGTAAAACTATCTTAGTACAATCATTGTGAAAATGATTAGAACTGACACTTCCCTGGGTTCCTATTACAGTGATTGAATCTCTACTGCAATGAAACAATGATAAAAGTTGCTCTAAATTGATACTTTGTATTTTTAAGTAAATTTCAATTTATATAGTGTTTTCTCTTGATAACTAAAAAGGAGTTTAAATGATGTTAGAAATTAAATAGCAAATTTATAAAGAAAAATTTTAACATTAGATTTTTTTTATGAGAAAGGGACAATTGAGTCAATAATGAGTCAATAATGGAGAATATAGGCAACTGGTTTACTGTTTAACACTGCAAAAAATTGCGCATAGATCTATAGACTATTGAGAGAGACACACAGAGAGAGAGAGAGACATAATGAGTTCAAATGCAAATGATAAATATTTGACTTTATTGTAATAATAGAAGAATTCAATTTTACCATGTACTGAAATCCCCAATAGACCTTTGGTATATATACATATCATAATTCTTCTATTATGCATCTACATGATTACACATATTTCAATGCCATATTCCTGAGAATGTACATCTTATGCATTATAAAGTCCTGGTATTGCATTTCAGTTTTCAAGTTTAGTATTAATAGTAATTGAGAGCAATGATGATAAATATAAGCCACAAATGCTAGAATGATTTGTTCACTTTCTGGTATTAAATACCTTAGATTTATTTAGCAATTTAGTAAAAGAAAAAAATCTAAAAATACTTTTAACCCCCATTATCTTACTTTCTGAAGTGATACCTTTCAATCAACTGAAATTTAATAAAATTACCTATCATATCATATTCTCTATAAACAGAGAAAAGAGTAATGGGTATGTCTTGTTTACTACCATATTTATAGAAGGTCTGATAATGTAGTAAATACTAGATTAATATTTCGATTCACAATTTAGTTGATTGAACAATTACCCAGAGTTGATGAAAGCAACATGACACCCAATCTTTCATACCAATCAATATGATATTTTACCATGCTGATTCACCCTTGGCCTCAGCCAGCTGTAGATCTTAGGCACACACATGCCTGGAATGTTAGGAAAGTTTCCGGATGTGAACTTGGGACCTCCTCTTGTGAGTCAACCTTGGAGAGCATTGTGATACCATTGTGCTATCATGCAACCCCTCCGTTTATCTCTATTTCTAAGTATACAGGGCCTTTTATGATTCCAAATGAATACTGTGATTTTTTTCTGACTCTTTGAAGAATGTCTCTAGTAATTTGATTGGGAATGCATGAAATATGTTGATTAATTCAGATATAACTAACATTTTGATTATATTCTTCCCATCCATGAACATAGGCTATCTTTCCAGTTTTGGATGTCGTCTTTAATTTCATTTTTAAGTTTTTCAAAGTTTCCTAGTAGAGGTCTTTGACTTTTTTGATTATGCTTATTCCTAGGTATCTTATACTTTTTTAGGGTATTACAAATGTGATTGCTTTCTGTAACTTTATCTCAGTCTGCTTGTTGTTGATATATAAAAATGCTATAAATTTTCATATGTTGACTTTGTATCCTGACACTTTATTGTAGTCATTTATCACATTTAGGAGCTTTTCTGTGGATTCTTTTGGGTTTTCAATGTATATAATCATATTATATACAAATATAGTTTCATTTCTTCTTTTCCCACTTGAATGCCTTTTTATTTTATTCTCTTTTCTAATTGAATTGGCTATGTTGAAAAGGCTTGTAGAGAGTAGGCAGTCTTATCTTGTTTCAGGTTTTAGTGGAAAAACTTTCAGATTTTCCCCATTCAGTATAATGTTAGTTTTGGGTTTTTAATAGATAGCTTTAATTGTGTTGAGAAATATCCCTTTTGTTTCAATTTTTCTTAGAGTCTTAATCATGAAGGGATGTTGTATTTTATCAAATACTTTTTCTGCATTGACCAGTATGATCATATGGTTTTTATCTTTCTTTCATTTAGTATGATGTATTACATTTATAGTTTTGCACATGTTGAACCACCCTTGTATCACTGAAATTAAGCCTACCTGGTCATGATGCATAATATTTTTTATGTGATTTCAATATGATTTGCTAGTATCTTGTTGAGAATTTTTGCATCTATATTCATCAGAGATATTGATCTATAATTTTATTTTTTGTTATATACTTGTCTGTTTGGGGAATAAGGGTGATGGGGGCTTCATAAAATGAATTTTGGAGATTTCTTTTCTTTTAGATCACTAGAAATAGTTCAAATAAAGTGGGGTTTCTTTAAAAGTTTTGTAGAATTCAGAAATGAAGCCTTTGGGCCCTGGGCTTTTCTTCGTGGTAGGTTATTTATTACTGATTCAATCTCATTTCTTGTTATGGGTCTATTCAGGCTTTCTATGTCTTCCTGATTCAATTTGGGTAGATTATATGTGTTCAGAAGTTTATCTTCTTAAAGAACCAGCTGATAGTTTCATTTATTTTCTGTATAGTTCATTTATTCTCTGTTTCATTTATTTCTGCTATAATCTTTTTTCTTTCTTTTCTCCTGGAATT